TTTGTGCAGCTTGTTCTGTGTAGCATCCACTGACGTTTCGCGACCAATGCGCACAGTGCGTATGAGTAATTATAATTGTGACAACAATAGCAGACATTTTACCAGAGGGGTATTGAAAATGTATCGACAGCTCAACGACGCGAGAAAAGATGGCAAGGGGCCAGAGGAAAAGCAAAAAGCAGATGCTTTCTTGCGCGAAAACAACCACGGAAAACTTACTTAATGACGCAAGTCGCACCATTGCACTCGTTGCGTACCCCTGCCCACGGCACCTCTTAATTAAATTAAAACTTTCTGTATAATTAGCATGGAAAAATAATTCTAGTTTTGGTTATTTATTTGAACTTAAAGGTGGATCGTGTTTTTCGCAAGCTTGACTTGAACCAGGACGGCATCATAACGATAGAGGAGTTCTTGGAGGCGTGTTTGAAGGACGATTTGGTAACGCGCTCGCTACAGATGTTCGACAATGACCTTTGATGACAAGAGGACGAGCCCGTTTTGTTGACCACGTCAAAGACTATAGTATCGCTTATCGATCTATAAATTGCAATAAAATATAAAAGGAAACGAAAATTCTCATAAATAAGCGAGGGAAAATCACCTTTAAAAAACACTTACTACCTACCTATGACAAAAAAAACACCACTGAAATTGATGGCAAATAATGGAAATGAAACATATTAGTAATTGAAAAATTAGTTTATGCCAAAATATCGAAAGAAGAAAAACTTTAAAACTTTATGAATGTGTTATTGTATAACTAGAAATCGATAAAAACAAAACAAAAACCATAATGAAGATTAAGAAATGAATATGAATACGAATACGAAACATTTTTTGAGCATATTCTGAATATAATCCTGCCGTCAAAAGCGTGTTGGTCTTGTAAGTATTTACTTACCTAATGTGTAAATTGACTTTATTTGAAGCAACAAACAACACCAATAACTAAACTAAAATAAAAAAAACTAAACCACCAATACCCGAAAATGATTGATTCATGAATGGAATTGGTCACGGAGAAAACGAGCCGGCTCTCAATACACGATTTACTTTACTCGATTAACCATATACTTAATCATACAACAAAAAGAACAGTAAAAATACTATAGTACGTATAGTAATACACTTTACTAAAGAATAATACGAAGATAATGAATTTGTTTTCACCCTAAACTTTGTTGCCTGGAAACCCTGGAAAAACTGTAAAAAACCGAACCCTCCCTCCTCCTCTTTGCAGTCAATTAAAGCCCATGAACACAGAAACATATGACAAATTACAGACATATTATAATTCATTTAGAAAATGTGGGAAAATCTATTAAAATTCATTTTTCATTTAAATTAATTCATTTTTATTGCATCAACTAATTGATGATAATTTGATGATTTAATGTAAAGACAAAAATAAATTTATAAAAACACCAGAACACCCATGATTAATAATATAAAGAGTATCATATGGATGTATTTATTTATGTATGTATATGTATATGGACTAGTATGTCTGGGTCCTATTTTTGCCCAACCAACCACCGATAGAACAAAAAAAATAGCACTTGACAATTACAGTTTAATTAATATTTATACGAGACCGTTCGTATAGTTAATGTTAACTCCAATTCAAAACACGACTCTTCAATTATATTGCATTAACATACATTTCATTACACATGCAATCACATACGAGTATGTACATATGTACAAAACTATTTTTGTATAAGATCCTACGACAATATTTTCCATTTATTATTTCAAGTCTGCAATTAATGCCTGGGTCACAGTACCGTTGGTTCTAGGGCAGCCACAGACACAAAATGTAAAAGGAATGAGAGGAAAGACAGGTTTTTACACTCAAAACAGGGTTAAGACAAGACAATCAATGTGGTTTGATATTTCATATTTCCCCCTTTTTAGTTGTACAATTACATGATTACATACATACATCGTTCTACCATTATTACTTCGAAAAAAACACATACGTCGATCTTATAAAACTTATAAAAACAGGAGTGGAACACGGCGACAAACGATAAAATTCTTTTAAGAACTTTGGTCAGCTCAACAAAGCAAACCCGGTTGGTAGAGCTTGTTGTCGCCAGTGTGATCTGGCTTGTAACCATTGTTACTGACTCACCTAACAAAGAGCCAGGGGTTGTTATCCGGCTCGAACGACCGAATTATCATTCGCAGGACCATGTTGACCCTACTCTATGTACCATTCTGTCGATCGGCGTCCAAATCCTTTGTCGTTCAAAAGATTCCAGAAAACACCAATTTATTACTTTATAAACTTTTCATATTTCACGCGCAAACTTCATCTCTTGTCGGAGTCTATGGTCGGACAACTTCTGTCAAATCAAGAATACATATTTCTTACATGGTCATACCACTAACCAAAAAGTATAGTAAATTGTCAATTCAAAGGAAGCGAAACGTCACCGTAGAATGTGCCAACGTCGCAGCTACAAGGATTAGTGCGTGTGGAACACGCAGCTAGAAGTCCCAGCTACATTTGTATAAGTGCGTGTAGCCAATGATTTTTTTAGCGCTCCAAACCGGTTCTGTCTTGATTCACACGGACACTGCAAGCAATGTATGTGTTGGTGCGCTGACTTTCTGAAGAGCGATGGAACGAAAATTCGTTTTGATGATTTGATTTTGTTTTCGGGGCTTGGCGTATGAACCTGACCTACCACAACATGTGTAGAATGAGGGGTGGAGATTGGTGGCCGGACCTTTGGGGGTTGGAAAAAATATATATACCAATAAAAGTTGTTATTGTATTTGAATGATGTATTTGTTTTAAATGCTGATTTTATACTGCTTTATTCAAAATTGTATGCATATATTATGGAAACGCCGTCGCTTCTCGACTTCGTTGCTGCCGTCTTATCAACATTGTTACCAAATCCATCTTTTACAGACAAATCTTTTCAGATAAATATATACTGTAATTATATACTATACTATTTGGTTAGTGGTCATACTTAAAAAGATAAAGTATCATAAAAATACTGAAAATTAAACCTTTCGTTTCGCAACTATATACATATATCAAGTATTTTTCTTTGCTGCTTATATGAGCATCATAGATTTCGATTTTTGGCCTTCTTGATAAAATTTAATTGATTTAATTCTTTTAAATAAATAAAGCTTTTTTATTCATCGGTATCTACACATTTTTGTTTCTTATTCCATTTAATATTTCTTTGATTTAAATCAAAATTTCTTCCAACGTAAATCAACAATTCAATATAGATTAAATCTATCTATATTATATCTAACTTTTATATCAAAACTGTCAAACCCAACACGTAAACCCTATCATAACATAACACCAAACTAGTTTCAATGTAATCTTGAGAAAAACTTTTCTGAGTCTACGACTAGGGAGTATTACCAACCCGAAATTAAATCATCTGCTTAGAATATTTATTACACCTTTCAGCAGAAAAAGTCATTTAATTTAGAGATATATTCCTATAGCGTCACATACTTTAATACCCGGTACTCACTTAGTGTACCTGTACCATATTATTTTTTCGAATTTTAAATTTGACATTTTTCATTTTTGCTACACCCGTCAGCTACATCTACATAACTTCTCTCGCCAACACGCTCGCTCCCCTCCCCTAGAGCCACACAAAAACAAGACTCGGTTATTAACGCTCTGTATTAGAAAAAGAGTGACCATCAAAGTTGCGTATAAGAAATTTTCATGGCGCCAATTTCGAAAAATCTGCTATGAAACCTAGCGGTCATTATTGCACAGAATGTGCAGGGAAAAAGTACCAATTTCATTTCTGTTTTAAATATCTCACAAATTGGAAAATACGATTAACTGATCCAATTTTTTTGATGCATTTTATTTAGTAGTCTTTTTACTACGTGTTCTGTAATGTGAACGATATCTAGTGGTTGGCGATGTCTTCTACATCTAGATGTAGTCCTGAGTGCCGGGTATAAAAGTTGTGACGCGTAAGAAGCGTCTCACACGTCCCTTCTCGTTTTTCTTGTTGTATAAATATTTGGTTAGAAAAGTGTGCTATAAAGTGTATGTTGTGTGACTTGAATGGTTTGTGCTTCAAAAACGCTGCTTCACAAACTCCAAAAGATGTCACACTCCTCTCTGTCACTCCCCAAACGAAACTTCAATTTGCTCTACTAGCTGCACGCTCTTTTCTGTAGTTAAAAGTACTACAAAATTGTGTTTTTTTTAAGAATTGACCAGGGAAGCTCCGGGCATCTTCTAGTTGCTGCTAAATTCGCTCTTTTTTCCCNGCGGCAGAGGCAGAGGCCTCACACTGCAGAAGCAGAGTGTGAATGAGATAATGTGAAAAAACAAAAAAATCTGCTGGATAGCGTTGGTTTAGCCATTGCAAATTAATTTCTTCATTGTGGCTGTAATAATGATCCAATCGGATCCCAATCTGATCTGATTAAATTGTAGCTTTGGGAGGGTTTCGCCCTTTTGCGGTCTCGCAATTATGACATTTTTTTTTTAAATACACTGGTTTTGGTGTGAGCATACAGCATTCTGGAGGCAAAATCTGGTTGCTCTAGCTGTTATAGTCTCTGAGAACTAGCCGACAAACAAGACGGACAGACAGACAGACATACATGGCTCTATCCACTCGGCTATTGATGCTGATCAAGAATATATATACTTTATGGGGTCAGAAACTTTTCCTAGTGTGCGTTACATACTTTGTGCACAAATACAATATACCCTATTTACTGTTTGAGTACCGGGTATAATGATATAAAATCAACGATTCGAAGTTGAAGGAACCTTAATGTCTAACCTATTCACATACATACATATGTAATAATAATAATGAAATTGAAACGCTTAAACCTAAACTTAACCTAAATTAAAATCGAAATTACTTTATTTAACTAATCGAATTGGAATTCCAAATTGACTATGAATTTAAATATCCACCAAGTTACGTCCAGATCGAAGTTTAAATGCTGTACGATTAGCTAGATGGATGGTGGGTCCGGATGAGGATTCCCCCAGCAGTCAGAATGTATTTTAAGCAAACATAACCAATTTTAACCACAATGAATACACAATATTAAACTACGATTAATTTGCATTTAGTTGAGGCTAAATATAATCAAAAATGTACCTAGTAAATGTAAATTACGATAAGAAATCGGAAAGGGTTAATGTCCGAGCAGATATCAAAACCATCTTAAATGAAATGCCCTAAGTTACGTACATATATACATAATTTACGTGTATGCTTCCCCCTTATGAATAATAAATGGAATGAAACGGAACTTAACAGGAGCAAAACGTGGTTAGTGATTGGGATTGTTTATAAGCAGAATAAACGCACAAACAAAGAACTTTATTATCATACTTATCACTAACTATGGTAACATTACGGTTTAACATATGTACAAACCTATGATAAATCCATCTTACAATGATGAAATTACACAATAAAAAAATTAATTTCTAGTAGCTAAACCCACCCCGCCCCTCAGCTTATATTCGTTTTTTTCACATTCTCTCATTCACACTCTGCTTCTGCGGTGTGCGGCCACTGTCTCTGCTGAGAGTCTGCAGTGTGTGGGTGTAGGGAAGGGGAGCGAGGTGAAGGAGCGTGTTGGCGTGAGTAGTGTTGTTGATGTAGATGACAGATGAAGAACAAATGTAAAACTTGACAAATAACCGCTAAGGTGCAGATGTAGTACTGAGTGCCAGGTATAAAAGTTGTGACGCGAAAGAAGCATCTCACACGCCCCTTCTCGTTATTCATCGGTATCTACACATTTTTGTTTCTTTTTATACCCAGTACTCGAAGAGTAAATAGGGTATATTGTATTTGTGGGGAATAACATGCACATGAATCTGCATACATGCATACTGACGGAGTACCGTCAAGATATGCCCCGCTCGAAGCGCCTCACGTTCCTACTCGTTTATTCTCTGTTTGTTTTTGCAGTTGAAGTGCTGCGGTGCAGATGGACCTGGTGACTGGGCCACGAGTCGATTTAATAATGTGGATCGCACTAATATTGTGGAAATTGCCGTGTCTTCCATTAATGTATTTTACAACATACCTGAGTCCTGCTGTAAGGAGGACCTCAAGGATAACGAGTGCGAACTGTCGCGTCGCTTGAAGTTTGGTGGCCCCTTGAATACGGCCATCTACCAGCAGGTAAAGCGGATAAGATGGATTGAGTAGTTTCAATGGATGTTTCATGGTATAGTAGATTTATGGTATTGCCCATTCTCATGGGAAACTCATTTGACATTCAAATTGTTTCCTTAACTGGGGACAGTCGGCTGTTGCCTGTCGCTTGTTGTCGTTCTTCGACTCATTAAGCCACCGAAAAACTATCAAAAATTAAATGAGAGGTGTGTCTGAAGCATGATTTCTTGCCGCTGGTGATTACTATTGATGGCGTGAGGGCCCATTAAATTTAATAATCCTTTGTTGTTATTGTGATCTCACGCCGGGCGTGGCACTAAAGGAAAATAAAAACACTGAAAAATGTATTAATTAATATATGTAGATATTCCACACGCATTTCAAATGCTATATGCAACTATATAAAATTCCATATACTAATCAAACACATTCTTTGTACATATATATTAATGAACCGCACTTTTTGTTACAGGGCTGCGTTGATAAAATGATTGAGATCATTTACGAGAATTGGGTCAGCATTTTTGCCATCACTATTGCTGTCATACTGTTGGAGCTGCTGTCGCTGACCTTTGCCCTGAGCCTGTGCTGTGCGGTGAGGAATCAGCACTACAAGGCCTGAGAATTACAGAACTCCCATAGGGAAATCACAGACGATGAGAAGTAGTAACAAACCAAATAGAAACGGATGCATAGCAAGCATTAATGAGAGAGACAGAGGACAAGCGAATGGGGAAAAAAGAGCGAATTTAGCAGCAACTAGAAGATGCCCGGAGCTTCCCTGGTCAATTCTTAAAAAAAACACAATTTTGTAGTACTTTTAACTACAGAAAAGAGCGTGCAGCTAGTAGAGCAAATTGAAGTTTCGTTTGGGGAGTGACAGAGAGGAGTGTGACATCTTTTGGAGTTTGTGAAGCAGCGTTTTTGAAGCACAAACCATTCAAGTCACACAACATACACTTTATAGCACACTTTTCTAACCAAATATTTATACAACAAGAAAAACGAGAAGGGACGTGTGAGACGCTTCTTACGCGTCACAACTTTTATACCCGGCACTCAGGACTACATCTAGATGTAGAAGACATCGCCAACCACTAGATATCGTTCACATTACAGAACACGTAGTAAAAAGACTACTAAATAAAATGCATCAAAAAAATTGGATCAGTTAATCGTATTTTCCAATTTGTGAGATATTTAAAACAGAAATGAAATTGGTACTTTTTCCCTGCACATTCTGTGCAATAATGACCGCTAGGTTTCATAGCAGATTTTTCGAAATTGGCGCCATGAAAATTTCTTATACGCAACTTTGATGGTCACTCTTTTTCTAATACAGAGCGTTAATAACCGAGTCTTGTTTTTAACTTTTAAAAATTAGCTTTTGGCCACTGTTTCCGCAACTCCTCGAAATAAAAAGCCAAGTGCTGCTGGTTGGACCGAGTCGGATATCAAATCAATTTAATGTATTCTTCTTTTCAATTTCGATATTCATCTGTTAAATGCATGTTCTTCCTCTTTCTCTATCGTATTCACATATCACATGTATGTTCTATAGCAACAAGCTTCTGTCAGTATGTCGTAAATGCAACAATTCAATAGCTTAATGCTACAAATTCATTTTACTTATACAAAATACTAATTGCTACGGGCCATAATTTGGCTAATTGGCGTAAACAGCCACCAAAACTGGTCATTGGGACAATGGTGCATCTGCACCTCAGCAGTGTTTTGTCAAATTTTAAATAGGCAGGGGCCGAGTGAAGCAGAAGCAGAGTGTGAATGAGAGAATGTGCAAAAAAANCTCGCACACTCTGTCTCATTGAGTGTGTGCATCTAGGGCACTAACCATACAGTATAGTAACTATAACTAACTAACTATGGTTAGTGTCTAGAGGAAAGGGCGAGCTATAAGAGCGTGTTGGCGGGAGAAGTGATGTAGATGAAAAAAGATGAAAAAAATGTTAAATTCGAAAAAAACAAGGTTACATACAAATGTACATTTACATGTACGTTTGCTTATACAAAATACTAATTGCTACGGGCCATAATTTGGCTAATTGGCGTAAACAGCCACCAAAACTGGTCATTGGGACAATGGTGCATCTGCACCTCAGCAGTGTTTTGTCAAATTTTAAATAGGCAGGGGCCGAGTGAAGCAGAAGCAGAGTGTGAATGAGAGAATGTGAAAGGAACAACAAAAGCTGCTGGACAGGTTGGGTTTAGCCACAGCAAATTAATTTCTTTATTCTGGCTATAAAATTTTGGTGATCTGATAGATATGGCCATTCCCTACGGAATGGCGTTTTTAGTTTTCTTTTATCTTCAAAATTGTAGATTTGGTAGGTTTTNTTATGGTATTTAGATGATATGGTACTTTGTAGGTAACTTTGATGAGTTAGGTAGAATAGGCGAAATGGACGACCATCTACCGGCATAAGTTCCCCGGTGGTTTGAAGTTCGCTGCGCTGTCAAGCGTGAGCAATAGGAACTCCAGGAGGAATGTCGTCCTGAGTCCATACAACATTTTATGTAAGTACCTTCTGTGCTGTTAAAGGTGTTATAATCACGCTAGGTGTAATAATTTAGCTGAGCACCGGGTCAGTGGTCCAGGTAGACGTCGCGTCGTGAAGTTGACGTTTTTGTTTGTCTCTTATTTGCTCATCCTTGCACTCCGCGAAGCTCGCCCCGTATAGAACTGCCATGAGGCAGTCATACGTACATACGTCTAAGTACACGTACAATAACCCCACAAATACAATATACCCTATTTACTCTTCGAGTACCGGGTATAAAAAGAAACTAAAAACTAATAAAACAACTTTTATACCCGGCACTCAGTCAGCATATATGATGCACACATGTACATATATATGTATAACACTAAAGTTACATGCATGCACATGTACATTTGTATGTAACCTTATGTTTTTTTTTAATTTAACATTTTTTTCATCTTTTTTCATCTACATCACTTCTCCCGCCAACACGCTCTTATAGCTCGCCCTTTCCTCTAGACACTAACCATAGTTAGTTAGTTATAGTTACTATACTGTATGGTTAGTGCCCTAGATGCACACACTCAATGAGACAGAGTGTGCGAGCGAGATAGTATAAGCAACAAAAATAAAGAAAGCTGCTAGATGGGGTGGGGGGGGCAGCCCCTGGACATTAATTTCGTCATTCTGCCTATCTGATCCTAATTCCTGGATCTGATAGATATGGAAATTATCCACNGTGCCCTAGATGCACACACTCAATGAGACAGAGTGTGCGAGCGAGATAGTATAAGCAACAAAAATAAAGAAAGCTGCTAGATGGGGTGGAGGGGGCAGCCCCTGGACATTAATTTCGTCATTCTGCCTATCTGATCCTAATTCCTGGATCTGATAGATATGGAAATTATCCACAGCTTTGTTTTATTCTATCTTAAAAATTGTGTGCATATAGCTGATTTTCGAGCTTTTGTGGGTGAAACTATTCAAGGTTAATTTTTAGCCAGCCTTACGGATCACATTCGACAGTGTTCTTAGACACTTCCAATCATATTTTGTTGAAACCTAGTTCATAGCCAAACAAAAGCATAACATTTGAGATTTAAATAAAATAAAACTATTCTTATGCTACTTATAATTAATAATACGAAAAGTAAAACACAAAACAAATCAAGAACTATGCCCAAAAACAGAATGGGGTAAAACGATATAAAATACGTTTTATTGAAAAATAACAATTTAATTATAAATGTGACTAAAGTAATTTTATTTGTGGGGTATCCATGAGGCAGAATCAGAACTCATTAATGAATCGAATCCGGCAAGAATATATTTGAATATATCAGACACTATTCCTTTATTTTTTAGATAGTTAAAAACTGGTTAAACATTTATTTTTATCTGTAAACTCCACACAATTTTGCTTTAATAGATGCTTATTTATTTATCTCAAATATCCATATTGATTCAATATTATCTCTTGCTTATTATTTTGATTATTTTATAGAATAGTTTATAGAATTTAGTTTTAAAAATATCATTATCCTTCAAATGAATACAAATCTTGAGCATCGATTATGTTGCTTTATTGCTGTCACTGACTTTTGCCTATTTGATGTCTTGTTGAATGTGCATTTTGTTATTTTTTTATTGTGTTTATATGTATGTATGAATTTATGTTTGTATGTTGTTTCCATATGCTTTAAAGTTACAGATTTTTGTATTATAATGAGAATGGTATGTTTTCTGGGTATGTCCTACATTTTGTTTTGATTTCAGATGCCTGATGAAGTTTTATAGAGCATTAAGTATTTCGCTACATCAATTTTAAATAATTATTTTCATAAAACACTTATTGCCTAGATATATTCCAATGGATTTACTACAGTTCAAACACATGAACGAACGAACATTTGCCTCGATTGCGTTTCTAACTTAGCCTAAAATCTCTTTCTCATCGCTGTATTTAACTTTGATGAAAATGCCACAAAAACCTATCCACTAAGAGATGTTCAATAAATAATTTACTTTAAGGTGTACATTTAAATACAAATAGATTTACTTAAACTAGATTTTTTTCCCACCTTTTCTTCTTTTATTGTAAATTTAATATCATTTTGTCCTTGGATGGGTTCTTATAGATTTGATTTATTTAAACGCTGGGATGTGGGTACAAAGTGTGACGCTTAGGCTGCGCTTAACAACAAAAAACAAAGTTCACATACATTTAACAACATTAAAATGATAATTATACAAAAAATATATGTACGTATATTTTTAATGTTCAATTAGTTTATGTTGAATGGTAAAAATTCAACGAATGTATATATATGTATATAAAGAGATTTTCCATACAATTTTTGTGTACTTTCCATTAAACATTTTGGGGCTGGTTGTGTTGTTGCTTTTTTGATTCGTTCTCATACATACTATAAATAGTTGCACTTACACAATGATTTGTTAATAATAGTAATATACATTTTGATGCAGGTAATAATGGACTGAACGGTTCTGTCTTGATTCACATGGACACTGCAAGCAATGTATGTGTTGGTGCGCTGACTTTCTGAAGAGCGATGGAACGAAAATTCGTTTTGATGATTTGATTTTGTTTTTGGGGCTTGGCGTATGAACCTGACCTACCACAACATGTNTGTTCAATTAGTTTATGTTGAATGGTAAAAATTCAATGAATGTATATATATGTATATAAAGAGATTTTCCATACAATTTTTGTGTACTTTCCATTAAACATTTTGGGGCTGGTTGTGTTGTTGCTTTCTTGATTCGATCTCATACATACTATAAATAGTTGCACTTACACAATGATTTGTTAATAATAGTAATATACATTTTGATGCAGGTAATAATGGACTCGACAAAATTCGTTTCGAGAAGCTGTGTTTGTGAGTTATGGGTTGGGAGATTGACCAACTTTTAGATAATATCTTTCAACATTCAGCTTTTGGCATAAAAAAACGAGAAGGGACGTGTATACCCGGCACTCAGTACTACTTCTGCACCTTAGCGGTGTTTTGTAAAATTTAACATTTTTCTTCATCTGTCATATACATCTACAACACTACTCACAACAACAAGCACCTTTAGCTCGCTCCCCTTCCCTAGACCCACACACTGCAGACTCGCGGCAGAGGCAGAGGCAGCGCCCGCACACAAAAAAAAAATATATATAAGCTGCGGGACGGGGTGGGTTAAAAGTCGGCAGAGGCAGCGGCAGGGGGAGGGCAGAGGCAGAGGCCGAGTGAAGCAGAAGCAGAGTGTGAATGAGAGAATGTGAAAGAACAAAAAAGCTGCGGGACAGGGTGGGTTTAGACACTGGAAATTCATTTCTTCATTGTGGCTATAATAATGATCCAATTGATCCCAATTTGGTGATCTGAAATACATATATGGCCATTCCCTACGGAATGGCTTTTTAAGTTTTCTTTTATCTTAAAAATTGTAGGTTTGGAAAGTTTTCGGCCTTGTTTGGGGGCTGAAGTGGGCGGGGCTAATTTTTGAAATACACTGGTTTCAGTGTGAGCATACAGCAGTCTGGAGCCAAAATTTGGTGGCTCTAGCTCTTATAGTCTCTGAGAACTAGCCGACAAACAAGACGGACAGACGGACGGACAGATGGACGGACGGACAGACAGACATGGCTCTATCGACTCTGCTATTGATGCTGATCAAGAATATATATACTTTATGGGGTCAGAAGTTTCCTTCTGTGCGTTACATAAAACCGTTATTCACACAAATACAATATACCCTATTTCGAGTACCGGGTATAAAAATTACAATTGTAAATGCATAAAATATTTGGCAATTAATTTCGCGAAGCAACGAATCGAATTTGGGTGTTCATGTTTTTCCAACAACATTTTGCACAAGGTCAAAAAATGATTTGAATATGGGCTGGGTTTTTGGATGGTAATGCGTCTGTAACCAGAAGAAAAATCTGTCAATCATTCTCATTCTTGTGGAATGCTGTCGTCATTCATGCATGTTTGCATGTATAGATCTACGTATGCATGTAGGTACATATGTACATAGCTGTACATATACACTTATTTAATTTGGCTTTGCTTTAGCATAATAGCATAATATTAAAAATGGCCACAAATCAACTTAATTGGTAATCGAAAGTCTTATGGGAGACAACAAATTTTGAACGAAATTTGATGGCTTTTCGTTTTAATATGTTTTTCTTTTTGGCAATTAACATTATACTTTGTGCTTACGTTTTGTTCTTTATATTTAATATATATTATGTATGCAATTTATGTATTTCTAAGTATCTATGAATTTGAAAACATTCTCATTATGCTAAAAATTACGGAGCCTGTTGCTTTATGTGGTTCGTATAAGTATACAAAGTATGCTCTTTGCGTATGAGTGTTTTTTTTCTTGTTGTATAAATATTTGGTTAGAAAAGTGTGCTATAAAGTGTATGTTGTGTGACTTGAATGGTTTGTGCTTCAAAAACGCTGCTTCACAAACTCCAAAAGATGTCACACTCCTCTCTGTCACTCCTCAAACGAAAATTCAATTTGCTCTACTAGCTGCACGCTCTTTTCTGTAGTTAAAAGTACTACAAAATTGTGTTGTTTTTAAGAATTGACCAGGGAAGCTCCGGGCATCTTCTAGTTGCTGCTAAATTCGCTCTTTTTTCCCCATTCGCTTGTCAGCTGTCTCTCTCATTAATGCTTGCTATGCATCCGTTTCTATTTGGTTTGTTAGTACTTCTCATCGTCTGTGATTTCCCTATGGGAGTTCTGTAATTCTCAGTCCTTGTAGTGCTGATTCCTCACCGCACAGCACAGGCTCAGGGCAAAGGTCAGCGACAGCAGCTCCAACAGTATGACAGCAATAGTGATGGCAAAAATGCTGACCCAATTCTCGTAAATGATCTCAATCATTTTATCAACGCAGCCCTGTAACAAAAAGTGCGGTTCATTAATATATATGTACAAAGAATGTGTTTGATTAGTATATGGAATTGTATATAGCTGCATATAGCATTTGAAATGCGTGTGGAATATCTACATATATTAATTAATACATTTTTCAGTGTTTTTATTTTCCTTTAGTGCCACGCCCGGCGTGAGATCACAATAACAACAAAGGATTATTAAATTTAATGGGCCCTCACGCCATCAATAGTAATCACCAGCGGCAAGAAATCATGCTTCAGACACACCTCTCATTTAAAATTGGATGGATTGTACGTGGCTTAATGCTTCGTTGGAGTACAACAAGCTACAAGCTACATCCGACTGTCCCCACGTAAGGAAGAAATGTGAATGTTNAAGTACTACAAAATTGTGTTTTTTTTAAGAATTGACCAGGGAAGCTCCGGGCATCTTCTAGTTGCTGCTAAATTCGCTCTTTTTTCCCCATTCGCTTGTCCTCTGTCTCTCTCATTAATGCTTGCTATGCATCCGTTTCTATTTGGTTTGTTACTACTTCTCATCGTCTGTGATTTCCCTATGGGAGTTCTGTAATTCTCAGGCCTTGTAGTGCTGATTCCTCACCGCACAGCACAGGCTCAGGGCAAAGGTCAGCGACAGCAGCTCCAACAGTATGACAGCAATAGTGATGGCAAAAATGCTGACCCAATTCTCGTAAATGATCTCAATCATTTTATCAACGCAGCCCTGTAACAAAAAGTGCGGTTCATTAATATATATGTACAAAGAATGTGTTTGATTAGTATATGGAATTGTATATAGCTGCATATAGCATTTGAAATGCGTGTGGAATATCTACATATATTAATTAATACATTTTTCAGTGTTTTTATTTTCCTTTAGTGCCACGCCCGGCGTGAGATCACAATAACAACAAAGGATTATTAAATTTAATGGGCCCTCACGCCATCAATAGTAATCACCAGCGGCAAGAAATCATGCTTCAGACACACCTCTCATTTAATTTTTGATAGTTTTTCGGTGGCTTAATGAGTCGAAGAACGACAACAAGCGACAGGCAACAGCCGACTGTCCCCAGTTAAGGAAACAATTTGAATGTCAAATGAGTTTCCCATGAGAATGGGCAATACCATAAATCTACTATACCATGAAACATCCATTGAAACTACTCAATCCATCTTATCCGCTTTACCTGCTGGTAGATGGCCGTATTCAAGGGGCCACCAAACTTCAAGCGACGCGACAGTTCGCACTCGTTATCCTTGAGGTCCTCCTTACAGCAGGACTCAGGTATGTTGTAAAATACATTCATGGAAGACACGGCAATTTCCACAATATTAGTGCGATCCACATTATTAAATCGACTCGTGGCCCAGTCACCAGGTCCATCTGCACCGCAGCACTTCAACTGCAAAAACAAACAGAGAATAAACGAGTAGGAACGTGAGGCGCTTCGAGCGGGGCAAATCTTGACGGTACTCCGTCAGTATATATGTACATCCAAACATACTTACATATGCATGTATGCACATTCATGTGTTGTGTAACCTTAGTGTGACACATCTGTACATACATAACGAGAAGGAACGTGTGAGACGCTTCTTACGCGTCACAACTTTTATACCCGGTACAACTAAGCAAACAAAACATAGAGGCTGTAAATCGACTAAAAACTGGCTGCCTAATCAGTAAGGGGATTGGCTTCCAGTGCCTTCGGCTCTTGGTGAGAGAGCCTTCGGCTGAGAGAGTTTGGCGTTGGATCTCTTGAGAAATGAACGCAAAGTTTTGTTTTTCCTTTTCAAGTCTGCTTCGTAATTTCTTGTGACACATCCATACATCATGGCAATGCGTGTATCTATTCTCGACTTCATATGCCGTATTATTTTAGCACTTGAGACGTTTGGCATTTTTGTGTTGCTTCTGAGCTCACATACCCTTTTTTATGAAGCAGCTTGCCCAAAAAAAAAAGAGAAGGACGTGTGAGACGCTTCTTACGCGTCACAACTTTTATACCCGGCACTCCGTACTACATCTGTACTCAAACGGTTATTTGTCAAATTTTAAATTTTTTCTTCATCTGTCATCTACATCTACAACACTTCTCACACCAACACGCTCCTTTAGCTCGCCCCCTTCCCTGCAGAGTCATGGCAGAGGCAGAGGCAGCTGCCGCAGACTGCAGGAAGCAGAGTGTAAATGAGAGAATGTGAAAAAATAACAACAAAAGCTGCGGGACAGGGTGTGTTTAGCCACTGAAAATGTATTTCTTTATTGTGGCTATAATAATGGTCAAATCGCATCCCAATTTGGTGATCTGATAGATATGGCCATTCCCTACGGAATGGCGTTTTTAGTTTTATTTTACCTTCAAAATTGTAGGTTTGGGACGTTTTCGCCCTTTTGCGGGGGCGGAAGGGGGCGTGGCTCATTTTTGAAATACACTTGTAACAGTGTGAGCATACACAAGTCTGGATGCAACATTTGGTGGCTCTAGCTTTTATAGTCTCTGAGATCCAGGCGCTCATTAGGACGGACGGACGGACGGACAGACAGACATGGCTCAATCGACTCGACTATTGACGTCTCGACTTTATGGGTTCGGAAACGTTTCCTTCTGTGCGTTACAAACAACCGTTATTCCCCACAAATACAATATACCCTATTTACTCTTCAAGTACCGGTATAAAAATTGATCTGGTGTATTCTCTCTACGCTTATATATTTCTTAAATACAGTTAGGACGAAAGGAATAAACGGTTATAAACATCTAATTATGTACATATACAGATAATAAATAATAATAATAATAATAAATAACGGCGAAAACATCTTAAAGCTACAATTTTGAAGATTGAAGAAAACTAAAAACGCCATTCCGTAGGAATGACCATATCTATCAGATCACCCAATTGGGATCCGATTGCATCATTATTATAGCCACTCCCCGTCCCGCAGTTTATATTTGGTTTTTGCACATTCTCTCGCACAAACGTTTAGTTTTCTTTTATCTTCAAAATTGTAGGTTTCCGAGGTTTTCGCCCTTTCGCGGGGGCGGAAGGGGCGGGGCTCATTTTTGAAAGACACTTGTAACAGTGTGAGCATATAGATGCATGCAAAATTTGGAGCTCAACAAGACGGGCGGACAGACGTACAGGCGAACAGACGGACGGACAGACAGACATGGCTCAATCGACTCGGCTATTGATGCTGATCAAGAATATATAGACTAGATGGGTTCGGAAACGTTTCGTTCTGTACGTTACATACAACCGCTATTCGCAAAATCTAAAATATACCCTATTTACACTTCGAGTACCGGGTACAAAAAGTTAAAATTGTTTTTAAATTAGTTCGAATTTCATTTCTAGCGAGGAGTGTGACCTTAGCTCTTATAGATAGTCTCTGAGAAAGAGGCTAGCTCTTATAGTCTCTGAGAACGAGGCGTCAAACAAGACGGGCAGCCGGACGGAAAAACAGACATATCTACTTATATCGACTCGACTATTGATACAGATCAAGAATATATACTTATATAATTATACTTATATATACTATGTACCTATATACTTAAAAGGGTCGAAACCATTTCCTTCTGTACGTTATATACATATGTATGTATGTATGTACATCCACTTTTTCCGAATACCGGGTACAATAGATAAACTTCATTGTCTGCTTAAGATACTTTCAAAATACTTACATTCTTCTGAAGCGTGTCAAAGGTAACCGTGCGGGAACTCATGGTGGATTGGCCGTACTCCTCCTGCACTGAAGATTTTACCGCCGCTCGCACAATATCGTCCAGCTTGTCTTTGTTGTGGAAGGCCCAGGCACCAGCTGCGATTTGTGCCACCATCACAATGAGTATCACACAGAAGAACTGCAACGTAAATTCAGTTTCAGTATCTGTTTTAATATTTGGATTTGTCAGAGAATTTACTCGATTTTTGTTTTGGTATAAACTCTTAACGATCTTTGTCAAAAAATTATTAATTGCCGAATAAATATGCAAATTTTGTAAGTTCAGATTATGTAGAACGAGAAGGGATGTGTGAGACGCTTCTTACGCGTCCAAACTTCTATTCCCGGCACGCAGTACTACATCTGCACCTTAGCGGTTTTTTGTCAAATTTTACATTTTTTCTTCATCTGTCATCTACACAACAACACTACTCACACCAACACGCTCCTTTAGCTCGCCACCCTCCCCTAGAGCCACACACTGGAGAGTTAGGGCAGAGACGCGGCAGAGGCAGTGGCAGAGAGAATGTGCAAAAAACAAATATCATTTAAATGATTAATGATTCAATCGGATCCCAATTTGGTGATCTGATAGATATGGGCATTCCCTACGAAATGGCGTTTTTAGTTTTCTTTTATCTTGAAATTTGTAGTTTTGGGAGGTTTTCGCCCCTTTGTGGGACCGGAAGGGGCGGGGCTAATTTTTGAAATACACTGGTTTCAGTGTATAGCGACTGCATAAGCAGTCTGGATGCAAAATTTGGTGGCTCTAGCTCTTATAGTCTCTGAGAACTAGCCGACAAACACGACGGACAGACAGACATGGCTCTATCGACTCGTCTATTAATGCTGATCAAGAATATATATATTTTATGGGGTCGGAAACAATATATCATAGCATACAATATACCCTATTTACTCTTCGCGTACCGGGTATAAAAACTGCACCATGAAATCTTGTTTTTCCCTTTTTAAATAGTGATTTCTTTTAAATCTTAGTTATTTGGTTTTGCCAATAAATGTGTAAAGAACCCGATCTTAAAAAGATATTCAACGAATTGCAAACTCCGGAAAAAGACAGTGGGCGATTCGAGAATGCAATTATCTCCCAAGCGTGGGACGGCACCGCACAACGGTATTCATTTCAATTGGAGTTTGTAGACAGACCTTTTTGGTTTTTTGCTTGTTTGTTTACTCACCGATACCAGCAGACACTGCGACTCTCGACAAACGCCCCAGCAGCCAAAGAACGCGCCCAGAGTGATCAATATGCCAATTCCCAGGAAAACGTAGAGTGCTATATGGTAATGATTATAGGATTGTGTCATCGACAGCATAAATGTGGGATCCGTCAGCATCCAAACGGATGTGATCACAATGCTCAGTCCAATGAGCTGCAATAGAAAAGGAAAAAAGGGAATATGAATCAATATTTTAAAATCTTATGCGTGAATCTCTTGTAAAAGTTGCATTCAATGCCCTCGAAAGCCTCTTCCATGACGCCATCTGGGGGGCGGGGAAGGCAATTAAAGTGGGAGACCGGCCAGGCCTCTATATTCCCAATTTGGTCAGAGGGCGTTTCTTATGATGTCAGCAGTGAGTGTGGAAAGGCAAACATTTACAAATGAAGGCGTATATTTGTACGCAATAAGTACGGAGACCCGAAAATATTAAAACTTCTCGGATTAAATCACTAATAGTTCTTGGAAACAACCATATTTATTATTTAGTTACAGTAAGCACACATATTATTCGCACACCAAAATCACCCTAGTTTGAACACCTATAACTTGGCGTACGGTCAACGTAAACAGAAAAATCAAATTTTATATCAAAGATCAACATATTTACTATATGTTTAAAAAAAAAGTTTTTAATAATCTTTCTAATAAAATTAACTGAAGCAAGAGTAATTTTTTTCGCACATAAATTATTCGTACAGCCGTCCGACTCTTTAAGTGAAATTAAAATATTAAAGGTAAAATGTACAATGAAAATTTTTGTTTGCTATATTTAGTCTTTATGATGACTAAAAGCACTTAAAACAATCTTTCCCCCAAGGTGCCCAGTGTTCAATTCAAACTTATCTTCGGACTGGTGCTGGGGGTTATCACTATAAGCCCAAACGATTCCAGCGACATCCCAAATGAAACGAGAATTATATTTGTTTCGATTGTTTCGAAATAAAAGTAAAGCAATTGAATCACTTTACTCGGGGAATACGAGCATGCAATCTGGACACAGAAATTATGTACATACATACATATGTACATATATAAAATTTGTTTTTTCAGATCGTGCTATGAGTGACAAAATCTAATTAAGACTAATGACCTAATATCCGAGAGAAGGTATATAGTCGAGTGTGTGAGCTCGCTTGGTTCTTTTCATGAATTATTCGGGACAGTTATTCATAGCAGGGCGGGTAATGAAGAATTGAGTGTGTGATGAATATAATAATTAACAGATGTACAACAAATTTGCTTGGTTTAAGGAATTATTACATTTCCTGGGAATATAAAGATATTCGAGGTTTACATCTAACGAAACTACGACTACAAATTTGAAAACATTTCAAAATTCAAACATATTTTTAACGTGTATCTCTCGCAATTGAATCTAAATCTCGAGCATGGCCTAGCATCTTTGCTTCAAGATAAGATTACGCAGCAATCTCACAATAAACTACGGAAGCCCTTCTTCATACGATAGTAAATTGAAAAGTCATAAGAGCCTTATTTCGATGTACTGTAGTGTACATTTAGATGTTTTCTAGGATGCAGCACCCCAGACAGATAGAGAAAACACAAAGCCATATTTCAAACGAGAAGGAACGATTGTGAGACGCTTTGTACGCGTCACTCAGTCAGTATATATGTACATGTTATCACATATGTTATACATTAAATGTGATGCATATTTATGTATGTAACCTTATATTTTTCCGCATTTTACATTTTAAATTTATTCTGCATCTGTCATCTACACCCACATCAGCATGCAGATGGAAATGTTATAAAAAGTTGCACATGAGAGTTCCGTTTGCAGACAAAATACGTAAAGACTTTAGATAATTTTATGTTCCTCAAGAGTACAAAAATGAGTGATTTGCCAAGTCAACAACCCCTCGAAAAAGTTCTGAAATGTTTCGAGAATTAAATATGGCAAATACACTTATCAGACACGATGTCGCGTGTAATAAACAAACGAACGGACGGACTAATAAATGTGCAAATTGCTTTGATGACCTACTTTTAAGTGCTCAAGGGAGTGTGAGAACGAGTAGACATAAAGAGAGAGTGTGAATGGGGGCAAAGAGTGCGATGCCGCCTTCTGCATGTTCAGTCACCGGTTTGTTCCCGTATTCCTCAACCATGCCACGCAACTTAGCTTTTAACCCAGAAAAGTGAAATTTAATGCATTCTCCCAAATGTATTAATTCTATAGAATCTTTACGTTGAAATAGAGAAATGGCAACACAACAACTAAGTATGTGCCGGTGGGTGGACAGACAGCTTGCAGGTTAATGAGACCCAAGCTTTGTCAAATGGGCAAAAAAGAACAGCAGCAGGCAAAGGCAACATTTTGGTCACTGTCAGCCTCAATGACGGCAGCGTTTGCATTATTGGAACGTCAGCGTACCCGAGATCGTGGTGTATGATACGGAAACGGTTGCAAAGCGAGTCACAGTGTGATGTATAAATATGGCGAGTAGGAACGTTTGAGACACAACTTTTATACCCGGTATTCATTCAGTATATTTGCACCCTTGTGGTTTTTTCGAATTTTACATTTTTCTGCATCTTTCATTACATCTACATAATTTTCCACACAAACATTTCCTTTTTGCTCAACACCCTCCCTCAGAGCCACACACTGAATTACGCAGAGTGTGCGAACGTGTAAGACTGACAACTATAAACAATCATAAGATAAGCTGTTGAGCTGGTTGGGGGTGCCACTAAAAATAAATGTCTTCATTCTGGCTATAACAATGATCTGAGCCGATCTTAATTCGGGGATATGATAGATATGGACATTCTCTATGGATCTTCGTTTTTAGTTTCAAATGAGAGAACCTGAGAGAGAAGCTAATAGAAACGTCAAATGGAGACTATTGTGGAGCCGAGGGAAATGATGAGTTTGGAAATATAGACAGAACGATGCACGTTCCATTATAACGATATTCCAATATTTTCATGGTCATTACTTTTCCATATTAAATCAAACGCGCACCACTATGCAATAGCGGGATAGCTCTGCCAGCAGCGTTGCTACAACTAATACCAATGCACAACTCCCTACCAAGAAACGCGCATACAAGAAACGTATTATTGTTGCTTTTCGGCCGTTTTCGAAAATAGCTCTTGGCTAATAAATATGTACTATAGGCAGAGATCGAAAAAAGGCAAAAACCACCATCAACCATGAACACACAAAAACCCCCCTTTCGCGGAGGGGGCGGGGCGAAATTTTGAAATACACTGTACAGAATACTACAGAATGTTACAGAATATTACAGTCTGGATGCAAAACTTAGTTGCTCTAGCTCTTATGGTTTTTGAGTACTACGCTCATCAGGAAAGAGAGAAGGACTGATAGATAGACATAGCTATGTATGCATGTATATTGACTCGGCTATTGAAGCTCCATATATGTATGTATGTACATATACTTTATGGGGTCGGAAACGTTTCCTACTGTGTATTTCATATGTACATACATACATCCATACATACGTACATCCACTTTCGAGCAGAAATACATTATACTCTATATACTCTTCAAGTACTGGATATAAAACAAATTAAAACATTTAACAAAAGCATCAAAATTAGTCTCTGAGCAACAGGGTCAAACAAGACGGACAGACAGACATAGAATCTCCTGATGCTGATCAAGAATATATCTACATATTTATATACTTTATAGGGATTACAAATACAATATACCCTATTTACTCTTCTAGTACCAGGTATAAAAGTAGAAGAACCCTTTCGGAAGGCGGGTGAACAAGACCGTGGGTGGTGTGAGGAATGGGTGGGCCGACCAATGTAGGTCCTTTCCCACTGATAAGAGACAGAGAAAGTAGTTGGTAAAGAATTAAACTCAACAGAAAACTCACGTAAGCGTTATGAAAAATTCTAAAAAAAGAAGAGAAAACCCAGCAGGAAAAGGCAGTCCATAGAAAAACAAGAACATAACAAACGTGTGGCGTGAGACCATGGCTGGGGTGCCGCTCTGGAAAAGGTGGAAGGAGTTGGGGCGATGCTTTAAAAGTCTGTCTTTCTGTCCAACTACTCTTTGTATGAGTGGGTGTGAGCACTAAGCAAACAACTCATAGAGTGGTCAAATGGAGTAAAAACTGGCTGCTTAATCAGTATAGTGGATTGGCTCCCAGTGCCGGCTCTTGGTGATAGAGCCTTCAGCTGAGAGAGTTTGGCGTTGGCTCTCTTAAGCCTTGAACGCAAAGCGACTCTCGCAAAAACAATGTTTTGTTTTTCCTTTCAAGTCTGATTCGTAATTTCATGTGTACGGTGACACATATGTACATACATGATGCCAATGCGTGTATCTATTCTCGATTTCATATGCGTTTTCATTTTTAGCGCTTGAGACGTTTGGCATTTTTGTGTTGCTTCTGAGCTCACATACCCTTCCTTCAAAATTTAGTCTTTCAGCTTGCCCCAAAAAATAAATAAATTGACTTTGTGTATCCTCTCTATGCTCATATATTTCTTTAATACAATTAGGACGAAAGGGATAAACGGTAAATATGTATATAAAAAATGCATAACCGCAATTGACTTGGCGTCACAAATATTTTCCATTAGAGTATTCAGCGTACACTGTAAGGCCCCACATGAGGGCGTAGCGTAGGGAATACACAAACAAATACACACACTCACGCCTATTCACATTAACTCTCACATATATATATAAACACTACTTTTGCATATGTATGTGTGCTCCAGTTGTTGTTGCTGCATTGGGAAGAAAATTCTTCTCCCATTTGTTGTTGTCCAGTTCACAGTTTACATACCCAAAATAAAATGTTTATAAGGACCATCAGATATTTGACGCACGAACAGCAGCCTTTGAGACCCATTGTGTCGATTAGTTATAGCTCTTTCCTAGCTTGAAATTCGTTAGATTTAACTGGTTCCTGTCGCCACACCACCGTTCGTGGCGTTGGCTTCCTTCTGTTGCAACGCGATTTGGTCGAAAGAAAATTGGAATTGACTCTACGCCTGCAACAACGACCGCGCCAGCAGCAGCAGCTTTAATGCACTTTTCTCTTTCTCCTATCTGGATATTTGCACAATATTTGAAACACTCGATTGTCGGGCTCTATTTTTCGAGATTTTTCAACGGAAGAACACTAATTGTGCATTTAACCGTTGCAACCGAATTATTTAAAAATTGTTTTATGCCTTGCTTTTTTGTGGCTGATAACAGTGTGACCGGGCATTTCTCGAATAAATATACCGTCAAATGACCCTCAGAAACATATCGAAGGGGCCGCTAGAACAATGCGTATGGAATCGATAAGAAATATTGTCCCGCACAAACTACTTAAAAAATGAGCGTCCGATGAAAACTAGAAAATCAGCGAGCAGTTTTTTGTTTTTTGAGCAGCTCTAAAAAGATAAATTTTTCATGTTCCAGGAGGCTATTAAACTATCAAATTTTGAATATGAACGGCGTAAATATTCCTTGGCACGGCCTTGCTGCTCCACCAATCCAAAAGGGCTGCAGATGTTCTTCTCAGATATGTGCAAATTCTCAAAGAATACTGATGTCCTTTGAGTCATACTTTTAAACTGCGGAATGTGCAAAGAATATTGTTAGATGCGTTTAAATACATATACACATATTTATATTGTTTATAGTAGTCACATGTTTAGACAAATGACCCTCCTGGTTTCTTTCCTGCAGATATGGGTGTACTCAATGTTGTCGGCGCCAATTTCGTTGATTATCCTTCTCCTCCGCTAATGTAAGAGCCGCCAATCACACTGAAGGCAATCTCCTGCATGGATCCATTTCGCTTCCACTGTTTTATTAACCTTTTATTCACTTTTCACTCAACAAAAAGGCTCCTGAGCAGTGTAATCGTACGGAGTGATCACGCTCTCCTGCTAACAAAATATATTGCACAGTTTGCTAGCAAACGTTGTTTTCTGGTATATTTTCCGCTGATCTGAGTACTCAACTGCGAAACTCAGAATGCTACATTTTTTGTCGAACAAAAAACAGGGCTGTTTCATATCGTTTTGCATGGGAATATCTTCCCTGATTCGGTGGCAAGAAAATTTAGCTCATATGAGTACTTGGTTTGGTACAAAAACTGTTGTTAAATTTTGTGCTAAAAATTGTATTGAAAGTAAGAAAGTTTTATCCGATGAATCCAACGAGCGTGAGGTGGCTCAAGGGGCCTAGCTGAGGCCACCGGACGGGTCGCAGGTTGCTGATAGCGAACGGCCTACCTTGTTTAGGTAGGTCAGCTGTGAATAAGCGGAAATAAACAGCCCCGGACAGCCAACGCTTGTGGTGCCGCCTCGTTTAAGTAGCTCACACACATCCCCTTCTCCACACAACACCTATCCTCATCCTCACCCACCCACCTCAAACCGGGCCGGACTAAGGTGTCTTTCGACCGGTGCCGAGAGTCAGCCTGGCTGGGGGCCCGGTATAAAAACAAGCCCAGTCGTGAACAGAGAGCTCAGGGAAATGGCAGCCCCCTGTTCTAATGATGCCTTACCTGGGCAACGTGGATCTCTGCCCGGGCTGACCGTTCCCCTTCTCTGCATCTCGTGGGATCAGAATGAATAAAAATTGTAATAATAACAAAAAACAATAAAAAAAAACAAATGACAGAGACACTCCCCAAACGTCTCAAGGGAGCAATCCCAAGCAGGGAAAGGCAGCGGCCCAAAGGCCTGGCCTAACCCGATCGATAGCAGGAAAGTCCTGCCCGGTGGGGCCCCTCTCCAATCCTGGGGTGGGTGGCACAGTACCCGCCAATACTGACGCCTTGGAGAGGAAGCTAAGCAACTCTGTGGCTGCCCGACCATCTGGCAAAGTGGAGGGGGAGGCTGGGCCATCGACCAGCGCCGAGGCTAAACGGTTCACATACGCCGAAAAGAGGAGTGCAGGGCACATACTCCATCGGCAGTACGCGAGCACAGAAACCAGCCCCTCAGAGGACTGGCTGAAAAAAGTAAAGTGGGCCTCGGAAGTGCTTCCGAACTTTACTCTGGAACCGCCTAAACCGCCCCAGCAACCAAAAAGGCAGCGCAAGGCTCGCAAGAGGCGCGTGGACAAGCTGCAAAGCGATCCAGGATACTGACAAATGTGTCCTTTGCGCAGATTGCCAAGGAGAGGACGCTGATAAGCGTCGTCGACAAAGGCAGCGCGGACGGAAGAATCCCGACGAACCAGTGGAAGTGGGTGGAAGCGGCACTGGCCGACCGCTGCTTCGAGCCCCTGGACAAAGACCCCGGCCCACCTCCAGTCTGCAAAGACATGGGATGGTTCCAGGGTAACACGAAAATTATAGCCTGCGAAGATGAGCGCTCCGTGCAGCTATATAAAGCAGCGGTAGCGCAAGTAGGCGAAGTTTATCCAGGCGCTAAACTAGCAACAGTCGACTTGATCAAAGTGCCCAGCAGACCGAGGGCGAGAATTTGGGTGCCGGCCTCCATAAGAGAGCCAGAACGTATCCTGCTAATGTTGCAGCGATGCAACCCAAGCCTTCCAAGGCCCCGGACTGGAAGGTGGTCAAAGTTGAAGCGACGCAGGGCCCCACAAACCAAGCCGTGGTCGTGTTAAATAAACAGTCGCTGGCCCCGATAGAGGCAGCCAAAAATGAGCTCAACTTTGGGTTCAGCTCTGTCACAGTAAAGGTGTGCCAGTCGGATGCAGCGGCCGGGGTGCGTCCTGTCGACAACCCAGTCGAGCAGGATGTTGCCTCGGAGATCGAAGCACCCGACAACGAGCTGGAGTTGGCCCAAGATGGTGACTCCCTAGAGTCTGAGCTGATGCTGGAGTTCAAAGCAATGTGCCGGAACGAAAGCTCCGGCGAGTCGGACGCCGACAATACAGTGGTGGAGATAGGAAAGGATCCCTCTGAGGCTCCTTCAGATAAATCTCCACCACTGTAAAGCAGCAACTGCTGCCCTCCTACTCCGTTTGGAATCGAGCGGAGGCGACGTAGTCCTAATCCAGGAGCCTTGGGTGGTTGGAGACAAGGTCTGTGGATAAGCGACGAAGGACTACAAGTTGATTGTAGCACCAATTGTACCAAGGAAGGTACAATTTGCACCTGCATTTTAGCTAGAAAGCACGTAAACATTTTAGCGATGGCGACAACAGCAGCTAGCCTAGAGCTGCAAGGGACACCACACCTTAGAGTGGTGTCGTCCTATATGGCTCACGACCAATGTGACCCTCCCAGCGACCTCGTCCGCAAAATAACCAGCGACAGCGAGAGGTCAAACACAGGCCTACTGATAGGTTGCGATGCCAACGCCCACCATACCCAATGGGGAAGGTCGGACATAAATGTAAGAGGTGATTCACTTTTCAGCTCCTAAACTCGAATCTGGTCCCTGTAATCGGAAGAATGACCCCACCTTCATTATAAAGAACCGAAAGGAGGTCATAGACCTCACCCTAGTGTCCCATAGCATACTAGGCCTTATCAAGGGCTGGAGAGTCCTAGAAGAGCACTCCTTCTCCGACCATAGGTATATAGAGACGATAATATCTCTCGAATGCCTAATAGCTGATAGTTATATAAACCCCAGGAAAGCAAACTGGGAGGCATATTCTAAAACCCTGGAAGAACTTCTTCCCCCAACAGTATCAACATGCCCTGATACACAAGATGACCTTAACAGTCTTGTAAATAGATTCACGGAGGCATGTAATAAAGCCTTTAAGGCCGCCTGTCCCCCCATTAAACCGAGAGGGAAGAAAAACCCCCCTGGTGGTCGAAGACCATTGAAGTCCTACGTAAAAGCTGCAGAGCTAATTTTAATAAAGCCAAAAACAGCAACGAGGACGATGGCAGACTACAAGACCAGCCTTGCCCTTTACAAAAAAGAAACTAGGAGAGCGAAAAGAGCCTTCTGGCAAAAATTCTGTACCGAAATCTAAGAAACGGCAGAAGCCGCAAGGCTGCGCAAGATCCTCTCCAAAACGAATACCTCTGTGGGATACATCAAGAGTACAGATAGGGTATGGACCAACTCCAGCAAGGAGTCCCTACACATCCTACTCGATACCCACTTTCCCGGGTGTACAACCATCGAACCACCGGAACGCCCCGATGAAGGCCCAGCCACATTGACCTACTCACAAAACGGAACATTTGCTGGGCGGTGAACAGCTTCAAACTATTAAAATCGCCAGGTCCAGACAAGGTGATCCCAGCTCAACTTCAGAGAGCTGGGGACCAAAAGATACTAAAGGTAAGAAAGATTCCTAAAGCATGGCTCAAGGCAGAAATTGTGTTCATCACGAAAGCGGGAAAAGCCTCCTACTCGACGGCAAAGGACATCAGACCGATTAGTCTGACCTCCTCTCTCCTTAAAACATTTGAAAGGATAGTTGGTCTACATCTGAGGACAATCATCAACCCTCAGATGCTGGCAGACTCACAACACGCATACCGTAAAGGTAAATCCACGGAAACGGCCCTACATGAAGTGATTTCAGGTATAGAGAAAGCTCTACACCTTAAGGAATACTCCCTAGCAGCCTTCCTCAATATTGAGGGAGCCTTCAACAACGTCGAGCCAGGAGCCATTACTGACCTGGGGGTGGATTGCCACTTGGTGGTGCTCATCGATTAATTGCTCACATGCAGGACGGTGACATCATCAATGGGTTCGTCCACTCAGACAAGGTATGTAAACAGAGGAACCCCACAAGGAGGTGTCCCCTGTCTCCCCTCCTATGGAACATTGCAGTCAATAAGATTCTATGTGACTTGGAGAGGGGTGGTTGCAAAGTAGTGGCATATGCAGACGACGTTGTCCTTATGTTCACGGGAAAATTCCGCCAAACACTCTGTGATCTTATGACTACAAAACTTGCTCGATTGTCAGAATGGACAAGATCGTGCGGATTAGGTGTAAATGCCTCGAAAACGGAACTTGTGCTATTCACTAACAAGTACAAAACTCCGCCACTCAACCCCCCAACACTAACCAAATGTAGGTTAACCTTTAGCGACAGTTCCAGTTACCTTGGGTTGGTAATAGACAGGAAGTTAAATTGGAACTTAAATAAGAAAGAAGGAGTGAAGAAGGTCACTATGGCCCTATACACCTGCAAAAAGCCATCGGACTAAAAAGGGGTATGAACCCATACCATACAATACATAAATCCATAGTCCAATGAATATATCGAGCTGTTGCGCAACCAATACTGCTCTACGGAGTCACAGTATGGTGGCCGGCTCTGTCAAAAAAGGCAATCAGCGCTCAACTGGCAAAGGTCCAACGAACGGTCACTCTTTGCATCAGTGGCGCTCTCCGCACCACACCAAATGACGCACTAAATGCCATTCTATGCCTGCAGGGCATAGACCTTTCAGGGAAGGAACAGGCAACAAGGGCAGCAATACGTCTGCGAGATTCGGACCTATGGACGTCACGACCATATGGTCACTCAGCGATCTTTAGGGACACTAATATAATACCTCATAGGACTGATTATTGCGTTCCCAGAGAGTACACAGCCACCCCTTCGAGGCTATAAACACCTGGCCCAACGGGGGCCATCAATATCTTTACTAATGGATCCAAGCTAGACAACAAAGTTGGCGGAGGAATCTACTCCAGGCAACTAAATATGAGGCATTCCTTTCGCCTTCCAGACCACTGGAGTGTCTTCCAAGCGGAAGTCATTGCTATAAACGAAGCGCTAAGATGCCTTCAAGAGATCTCAGTCGCGGCTACTCACCTAAACATCTATAGTGACAGCCAGGCGGCACTAAAATCACTAAACGCGATTTTGTCGCAAATCTCTACACGAGATGGCAAGGCAATATGTTATTAGCCTAATATGGGTCCCGTGACACCAGGACATCGAAGGCAACAGCATAGCAGACGAGTTGGCCAGATCTGACACTACACTCCCCCTTAATCAAGATAAGGAGGAAATACGTATGCCAATGGCCACTTGCAAGCTCAAAATAAAGGAGTACTTTACCCAGCAAACAACCAACAGATGGAAAATGGTCACGGGCTGTCGCTTCACCCGACAAACGTGGCCAGACATCTCGAGAAAACGCACCGCTGAACTATGCAAACTAAGCAGACATAGGTGCAGCATAGTCATTCGCTCTCTTACAGGGCACTGGCTAATAGGCAACCATGCTAATAGGCTGGGTGCCCCCTATAACGACTTCTGTCGTAGCTGTAGAGACGAGGACGAGGAGGAGACAGTAGATTATCTGTTCTGCTCCTGCCCGGCTCTCAGTAGAAGGAGGTTAAAATATCTGGGCTCACCTTTTCTTAACGACATTTCAGAAATGGCTACTATTGGCCCCAGGAACATAGCAAACTTTGTGAGAGCATCTGGATGGGAGCACTGCTGACACCCTGACAAACGGGAGGAGAAGAGGAAAAGATCCAAGCGGAATTACAACGGCCGAAACCGGCCTAGGTGTGTCGGGATTGTGAAGTCCCGACGACCGCCTCAACCTAACCTAACCTAAGAAAGTTTTAATGTTTGTATTCCTTAAAGGCTTTTAATTTATCTGGCTCTTTAATGATTAATGCTTTTATTTTGGTTACTTAGACCGTTACTTATACCGAAGAATGTACTTCAAAGCAATTAGTTGTTGTAATGGCCCAAAACGAATGTGAAAGTGAAATTGCAAAAGACATAAACGCAGTGGCGCCACGCAGGAGGAGAGCAGAAAGGTGACTGGACCAAGCCAAATAGTTGTAGCGAAAAAACTAGTGCGTATAGTATGTTATACTACGGTAAATGGTCAACCTCTACGCTTATCCTGTGCCGCTTATCTCAAAAGTATACCGATATATTGTGCATTCATCGATAATTTTGTTTGATTGTTTCGTTCGGTTACGTTACGATAGGTTTTTGGAACACTGACATTTTTTATGGTGTTTAGATCAAACATATTCAAGAAACTTCTGAAAACTAAAGAAATTTCTTGTACGAAATGGATTCGTTAATTGCATAAAATTATAATCTTAGGAATGAGAATCTAAGCTTGTTAGTAACCCTAAACAGAACATCGAAATGGAGGAAAATACTTTTTTTCTGTGGACTTATTTCATATTTAAAAAATGGGAAGTATATATATTTCGGTATATTTTTAAGTGTCAGAGAGTATATCTTATCGATAAGTCCTCAGACAAACTGCAACAAACAAACACAACAAATAAAAAGATAAAACGGAAGTATAAAATGGCTGTCTTATTTGGTTTCTGGCAGCAAGAATATAATATTTAATTATATTCGCTGGAAAAAGCAGTGACTGTGAAAATGTGCTTTGAACGTGGCTTTGGAGCACAACGGCCAACCGAGAAAATGTAGAAGTGGCTTATTCGGTGTTGATTCTATTCTCGCAGATAGAAAATCGGTGCAAAGGAAAAAACAAAAAATACATTCAAACACACGAATGTAAATGTAAAGGAAAAGTAAGAACACCAACATCTACCACCGAAAGAGGTTTTCTTTATTTTTTTCCTGTAATTAATTACAAAGAGTTGCTCACACCACTCTCTGAACCCGAATCATCTTACTTGTGTTATTATTTGTGAGTGCATATGTGTGTGTTTGTGTGTGTGTTTCTTGTAATATAGTTACGCTGTAGAGCGCGGAGTCGGGGGAAATGGAATGAAGTGGAGTGTAACCAAACACGAAACGGGAGAAAAAAAAGCCAAAGCGCAGGCTAAAAGTTTCTCAAGCGCTGCAATCCAGTCTTGGTCCCTAACCACCTACCCCCTCCGCCAAACATGAGACCCCTAACGGAGCTTTGCATAGGTATACGCACTTGTTTATTCACTACAACTATTTGGCTTGGTCTAGTCACCTTTCTGCTCTCCTCCTGCGTGGCGCCACTGCGTTTATGTCTTCTGCAATTTCACTTTCACATTCGTGTTGGGCCATTACAACAACCAATTGCTTTGAAGTACATTCTTCTTTTTTTGTGGGTTGTTGTTTCCTCCTCTTACACTCCTCCCTTTCCTAAGCCTATTGAGCGTTTCGAATTAGAAAGTGTGTGTGAGTGTGCGAGCGGCATTTTCTCAATGAAATTTAGGAGTGTGCGAGTGTTAGTGAATGGTTAATGTTTTGTAACCGCTTTATAGCTGTGAAAATGTTGAACAGCCCCCTACGTCTCCCCTGTATATTGTCACATGATTAAATTCTAATTAGTGCTCGTTAATAGTCCTCCCCCCCTGTCCGCCCCTAGCAATTGCAATCCGCATGTGTGGGATGTTTAAATTGTTGCATCCAGAGAGGGAGATAGAGACACACTACAGACAGAATGAAAAAAGGGGGACAACGCTCTTTTGTATACAATCACACAAAGACAGATATATTTTTCAATCATTTGCATTTTACGCACACACACAAGCACACGTTGACAGACAACCTACATAATTGCAAGCAACGGCACTTGGCAACACGCTAAAGTAACAGCAGCACTAATAGTGGTCTGTGAACTATGAAGTGGCAGCAGTTTACAGAGCTCAAAGAGTGTCTTAACATGAAACAAGTATGGCATACTGCGACACATTGATACCCAGCATATCGATGGTTAACAAAGTTAAAGTATTTAAAATGTTAGCTCGTTTTTAATTTGTTAAAGACCATGGACTGATTTCCTCGGCAGCATTATTGATTTAATGCAATTAATTTGAAGCTGATTAAGAACTTGTGTGTTGTCGCTCTGCAGGGGTACCAGACCATTCGTACGTAAGCCAACAGATAAATAACAGCACCTTAACAGTGGAAAAGTGCATCAACCCACCGGAATTTAACAAAGTGTGTGCGCGTGTTTTTATACACGGACTCGAAGAGTAAATAGGGTATTTTGTATTTGTGGGGAAAAACGGTTGTATGTAACGCACAGAAGAAAACGTCTCCGACCCCATAAAGTATATATTTTCTTGATCAGCATCAAAAGCCGAGTCGATTGAGCCATGTCTGTCTGTCCGTCCGTCTTGTTGAGCGCCTGGATCTCAGAGACTATAAAAGCTAGAGCCACCAAATTTAGCATGCAGTATGTAATTAGTATGTATGTAGTTCTGTATGCTCACACTGTTACATGTGGATTTAAAAAAAGAGCCCCGCTCCCGAAAACCACCTAAACCTCCCCCAAAACAATATTGAATATAAAAGAAAACTAAAACCGCCATTCCGATACCAAATTGGGATCCGATTGGATCATTCTTATAGCCAAAATGAAGAAATTAATTTGCAGTGGCTAAACCCACCCTGTCCCGCAGCTTTTTGTTGTTTTTCACATTCTCTCATTCACACTCTGCTTCTTCTTCACTCGTCCCCTGCCTCTGCCGTCCCTCTGCCTATGCCACTGCCGACTTTTAACCCACCCCGTCCCGCAGCTTATATTTGTTTTTTTTTTGTGTGCGGGCGCTGCCTCTGCCGCGAGTCAGCAGTGTGTGGGTCTAGGGAACGGCGGCGAGCTAAAGGAGCGTGTTGGTGTGAGAAGTGTTGTAGATGTAGATGACAGATGAAGAAAAAATTTAAAATTTGACAAAACACCGCTGAGGTGCAGATTTAGTACTGAGTGCCGGGTATAAAAGTTGTGATGCGTAAGAAGCGTCTCACAATTCCCTTCTCGTTTCACATTCTCTCATTCACACTCTGCTTCTCCTGTGTGCGACCACTGCCTCTGCCGCGAGTCTGCAGTGTGTGGGTCTTGGGAAGGGGGGCGACCTAAAGGAGCGTGTTGGTGTGAGAAGTGTTGTAGATGTAGATGACAGATGAAGACAAAATTTAAAATTTGTTGAAATAACAATATAAACTACAATAAGCATAAACGATACTAAGTTGTTACCTATTACCTCTTATAATTTATTCCAGAAACTTTTTAATGACCCTTCTGGGTTTTAATGGTTGTTGTTGTTGATTTAGCAAGTTTCACATTAGTTCAGCAGTTGAGGTTGCCCCTACTAAAGGAATAGTCCCCCCACCCAAGGAAAGCCAAATTACTCGACTGGTTGTAAATGGGCTGGGAATATGGTGCTATATTTATGTAGAAGGGTTGTATAATTTACATATGTATGTACAGGATGTGGATAGAAATGTACATATGTATGTACATATGTATGATTCACGGGGAGGTTTGATTCTACTTGAAATGATATCTCTAGAAACCATCTAAAATCATCCTTACAGTGTAATCGGTTATACATCGGTATAAAATCGGTAATACATAGTTTCTAATAATCGTAGATTACAATTGCATTTTATAATTGCTTAAGGCCCTGCAAGTTGAGTTACAGCAAGAATCAGCAGTAAAAGTACTCTAAACATGTCGGGAAAATATACAAAGAAAATTTGTTTATCCGCCATTACCAGAAGTGAAACAAAACAAAATTTTTTATCCTTTCTTCAACGAAAAATACCCGTCCAATAGTTAACCTTACAGTCTCTGTGCCTGACCTTAGTCATAAGAAATTAAATAATGCACGAACATGCTAAATATGGGTCTGTGAAACTGAGCGACTGTTTGTTTCGCTGTGAAAAACGAATAACCGCAGCTGTGCTATCCAAAGAACTAGCGACAGATAGGTGGCATCTGCGTGGGAGGGAAGGGGCGATGTGGAGCGTAGCGATAACGCCAAATATAAACAAAACTTATCCCAGAATCAATAAACCAAAACAAATTTCACTTTTATTTCATGTTTAGATTTCGAGAGCAGCAGCAGCAGCGGGAAGAGAGGACACACCACACCACTCGATAAAGATAAGCTCTCGGGGGTCTTCCAGGTCAAACCGCACTGATACGGATATACTGGACTAATACCACTGAACAGCTATAGGCCACGGTGACTCTGCGGGGGAGCTACTTCTAACCGCCGAACAACCAGGTAGAGCGCTCGACCCGGCCGCCGAGCTTATCAGCGATTCAGGGCAGAGCATGTCGCACGGCAGCGTCGGTGGAAGTGGCGGCAGTTTGGGCGCGCAAACGGTGGGTGCCGGCAACATTGGTGGTGGTGCCGCGGCAGCAGCAGCAGCGGGCGGCGGCAACAGTGAATACCGGGAGCTCCACTGGACAGTTTCGAGCGTGATGGACTCATCACGCGTTTCCACCTGCCTCATCTCTATGCTGCTGATTGTGTACGGCAGCTTCCGGAGTCTCAACATCGAACAGGAGGCACGCGAGCGGGAGCAAAAGAAGCGCAATGAGTCCACAACGAATCTCCTCACCGGGGAGCATGTCGAAAAGGAGCCAAGTGAGTATCGCCAGCCTGTAATCTGTCCACCAAAACCACGCTAATGGCTAAAGGCGCGCTGTGCTTCTTTACAGCAGATAAATTCGCCACACTAGATACGATGCATGCCCTGTGCCTACCCCTAGGCGCCTCAATATCACTGCTCATCATGTTCTTCTTTTTCGACTCGATGCAGCTGCTCTTTGCCGTGTGTACAGCAAGTGAGTATCAAGGACTACCCCCTGCATCGTTCAAAAAAGCAAAAATTTACTTTCTGTCGTAATCACCTCGCAGTCATTGCCACCGTGGCGCTAGCCTTTCTGCTTCTGCCCATGTGCCAGTACATTATGCGTCCCTGCACGGACGGCAAACGTTTCTCATTTGGCGTTTGTGGACGCTTCACGGGCGCAGAGCTCTTTAGCTTCATGCTGTCTGTGTCGATTGTATGCGTTTGGGTGCTAACTGGCCACTGGCTGCTGATGGATGGTAAGAACTGACTGGATGGAAGATCCATCTTCCTTTTGTCGTTCAATAATTTTTGTGTCCTTTCTTACAGCAATGGGCATGGGTCTGTGTGTGGCTTTTATCGCGTTCGTGCGATTGCCCAGCTTGAAGGTGTCGACGCTGCTGTTGACCGGCCTGCTCATCTATGACGTCTTCTGGGTATTCCTCTCCTCGTACATTTTCAGTACGAACGTAATGGTCAAGGTGGCCACGCGACCCGCTGAGAATCCCGTTGGTATAGTGGCGCGCAAACTGAATTTGGGCGGCATTGTTCGAGATACACCGAAACTGAATTTGCCGGGAAAACTGGTTTTCCCCAGCATACACAATACGGGCCACTTCTCAATGCTCGGCCTGGGCGATGTGGTGATGCCCGGCCTCCTACTTTGCTTTGTGCTGCGCTATGATGCCTACAAAAAGTCACAGGGCGTCACCTCGGATCCCACTCTATCAACGCCAAGAGGTGTGGGCTCTAGGCTAACATATTTTCATTGTTCCTTATTGGGGTGAGTGGTGGGGGTGGGAGTTGGCTTAAGCCTTTTACTATGTATTGATTGATTGTATTTTTAATGTTTAGCTATTTTTTGGGTTTGCTAACGGCCACGGTCAGCTCGGAGGTGTTTAAAGCAGCACAGCCGGCGCTGCTATATTTGGTGCCCTTTACGTTATTGCCATTGCTGCTGATGGCCTATCTAAAGGTAGGCTATGATATGCTGAATGGAAACTTTAATGGTGTAATCCTTTCCTTATTTTAGGGTGACCTGCGGCGGATGTGGAGCGAGCCGTTTATCACGCACCCACCATCAAAACAACTGGAAGTCTGAGTGTGTACTCTTATCTACAAATAGCAACAAGAACAACAACCACAAAACTACAAACAGTAACGTCAAACACAAACCCCACATACACACCCATAAGAAAATTCATTTTCTAAACAATTTCGTCTCTAAAATAACATATTGAGTATGTATTTTTTAATTATTCTGTACTAAGTTTCGTTCTAACTTAGGTGATACTCGTTTTTCATAGTGAAATAAAATTCAAAAAATCGAGTAATTATAGTTGATAGCATTCATTTCAATTGGATTCGAATACACACCAATCAATCCATGCAGATAATTGATTTTGATTGTAGAAGAATAGATCCAGCCTACAGTTCATAGGCTTTACCACATATAATATCATAATTATAACCCATAGCGAGAGACTACGAGCAAGCAAGGAAAAGTGTTTGGGACTCGAGTTCTTAAGGAGAGTGTCGTACCTCGGGTAGACAATTGAGAACCAGTATTGCCGTTCTGTAAATACTTAAGTTTAAAAACAAAACAAAAACCAAATTTGCATACACAAAAATGATTAATGAAATTCTTTAGATAAGGAAACCACCATGCAACAAATAATAGTCTGTAAGTTAGCCTTCACAAATACACACACACATTTCATTTACCTGTGTTTTGTTCCAACATTTCCGTCCCACACCGCAGAACCCCCCTGTCCTATCCTACCACAGAGATCCATCTAAAGAATTTTTGCCAAAATGCATGTGTTCGTTTTAAACAATAAAATAATATAAACAAAACGAAATAAAAATACAGATAAAAAAAAACAAAAGTTAAAAGAAAATAATTTCCACCTGCGTCGGTGTATCACAAATTAAGTTCACGAATTTTAATTATTTGTAATTAGAGCAGCTAAAAAACGAAAAAAATAATAATAAATAATTATTGTAATTGTATGCATATGGAGCGATAGTTCCATACTAATTCTAAGTAAATGCAATTTCGAAACGTATAGAAACAATTAAAAGTGAGATTTAAAGAAAAACGTACATTTATACAGGAATTGGTTGCTTCAGTTTCTATGTTAATAATGCTATGTTTCGAAAAACTAATTATAACGGGAAGGGACATGTGAGACGCGTCTTACGCGTCACAACTTTTATACCCGGAACTCAGTACTACATCTGCACCTTAGCGGTGTTTTGTCAAATTTTAAATGTTTTCTTCATCTGTCATCACATCTACAACACTTCTCACGCCAACACGCTCCTTTAGCTCGCCCCCTTCCCTAGAGCCAAACACTGCAGAGTCATGGCAGAGGCAGAGGCAGCTGCCGCACACTGCAGGAAGCAGAGTGTAAATGAGAGAATGTGAAAAAATACAAAAAAAGCTGCGGGACAGGGTGGTTTAGCCACTGAAAATGTATTTCTCTATTGTGGCTATAATAATGGTTCAATCGGATCCCAATTTGGTGATCTGATAGATATGGTCATTCCGTACGGAATGGAAAATATTTTAAATTTGACACAACACCGCTAAGGTGCAGATGTAGTACTGAGTGCCGGGTATAAAAGTTGTGACGCGTAAGAAGCGTCTCACACGTCCCTTCTCGTTCAAACTCGTAGGTTTGGGAGGTTTTCGCCCTTTTGCGGGGGCGGAAGGGGGCGTGGCTCATTTTTGAAATACACTTGTAACAGTGTGAGCATACAGAAGTATGGATGCAAAATTTGATGGCTCTAGCTTTTATGGTCTCTGAGATCTAGGCGCTCAACAAGACGGACGGACGAATGGACAGATAGACATGGCTCAATCGACTCGGATATTGATGCTGATCAAGAATATATATATTTTATGGGGTCGGAAACGTTTCCTTCTGTTTCCGCTCGCCTTCCCCAGACCCACACACTGCAGACTCGTGGCCGCACACAGCAGAAGCAGAGTGGTGAATGAGAGAATGTGAAAAAAACAAATATAAGCTGCGGGACGGGGTGGGTTTAGCCACTGCAAATTAGTTTATTCATTCTGGGTATAATAATGGTCCAATCGGATCCTAATATGGTGATCTGATAGATATGGTCCTTCCCTACGAAACGGCGTTTCTATACCTGGTACTCGAAGAGTAAATAAGGTTTGTATTTGTGGCGAAAAGAGGATGCACAGAAGGAAACGTTTCCGACCCCATAAAGTATATATATATTCTTGATCAGCATCAATAGCCGAGACTATATAGGCATGTCTGTCTGCTCGTCCGTCTTGATGAGCTCTTGGATATCAAAGGCTATAAAAGTTAGAGCCACAAAACAATATCTAATCAGATCACCAAATTGGGATTAGATTGGATCATAATTATAGCCATCATGAAGAAATTAATCTCCTACACCCACCGCGTCCAGCAGCTACTATCTTGCTCGCACAGTCTTCCTCGTGCAGTGTACGACGCACCCTGCTAAAAGACGCCCAGGTGGAAAGAGGCCATCAAATAGGTGAAAGAGGAAACAATTATTAGAGATTAATGAGAATATATTGAATTTATTTGTATTTTTAATTTGTTTAATTTTTCCGAAAGCCATTATCTTCACGTCGCCAAGACATAGACCCGGCTGGGCTGTTAACAAAAATGTTTAAGTGGTTTCTTAATTATGTTTCTGGACTGCTCCATCAATCCAAAAAGGCTTCAGAAGTTCTTCTCAGACAAGCAAATTCTCAAAGAATACTGATTGCATTTAAGTTATATTTTCAAACTGCGTAATGTGCAAAGGGTATTGTTAAATGTGCTTCCATTCATATGTATGCACATGTGTACATATGTATGTATATGATTTATAATACTCGCATCTATAGAAAAACGAAACTTCTTGTTTGGGTTTACTTAATGTTGTCGGAGTTTATTACGTTGAATGTTCTTCTCCTCCGATAATATAAGATCCGCTACCATTTTGTATTCTTGTTTTATTAACTTTTCACAAATTTCCACAAAGTAAACAAAATAACAGAGCTGCCTGAGTAGTTTAACCGTAAGGAACGCATCCTTCACCTCTGGTCACACTCTGCCTCTATCATCATGTGTTGCACTGTTTGCTAGCAAACGTGTTTTCGGATCTGGTGTGACCGCACTCCTGGTGGTGGCAGAGCTTCTAAAGCTGTATTTAGTGCTGCCCATGAAGAAACTATAGTTTCTATGCTGCCCATTTTATGACTCTGGCGGTATTTCAATTAGAGCGATGAAACCAACGGGAGTGTTCCGATAAAAATAAAAGTGATAAATCCATGAATTAATTATTCCCGGTATTCGAAGAGTAAATAGGGTATATTGTAAATAGTTTTTGACCCCATAAAGTATATATATTCTTGATCAGCATCAATATCCGAGTCGATTGAGCCATGTCTATCTGTCCAATCGTCCGTCCGTCTTGTTGAGCGCCTGGATCTCAGAGGCCATAAAAGCTAGAGCCATCAAATTTTGCATCCAGACTTCTGTATGCTCACACTGTTACAAGCGTATTTAAAAAATTGGCCTCGCCCCCTTCCGCCCACGCAAAAGGGCGAAACCCTCCCAAATATGCAATTCTGAAGATAAAAGAAAACTAACGAGAAGGGACGTGTGAGACACTTCTTACGCGTCACAACTTTTATACCCGGCACTCAGTACTACATCTGCACCTTAGCGGGTTGTGTCAAATTTTAAATATTTTCCATTCCGTACGGAATGACCATATCTATCAGATCACCAAATTGGGATCCGATTGTACCATTATTATAGCCAAAATAGAGAAATACATTTTCAGTGGCTAAACCCACCCTGTCCCGCAGCTTTTGTTGTTCTTTTCACATTCTCTCATTCACACTCTGCTTCTGCTTCATGCGGCCCCTGACTCTGCCGCCCCTCTGCCTTTGCCTCTGCCAACTTTTAACCCACCCCGTCACGCAGCTTATATTTGTTTTTTTTGTGTGCGGGCGCTGCCTCTGCCGCGAGTTTGCAGTGTGTGTGTCTAGGGAAGGTCGGCGAGCTAAAGGAGCTTGTTGGTGTGAGAAGTGTAGTAGATGTAGATGACAGATGAAGAAAAGATATTAAATTTGACACAACACCGCTAAGGTGCAGATGTAAGACGTGACGTGTAAGAAGACGTGTAAGACCCTTCTCGTTAGTGTTCTTTTATCTTCAGAATTGCAGGTTTGGGAGGGTTTCGCCCTTTTGCGTGGGCGGAAGGGGGCGAGGCCAATTTTTTAAATACGCTTGTAACAGTGTGAGCATACAGAAGTCTGGATGCAAAATTTGGTGGCTCTAGCTCTTAGAGTCTCTGAGTACTAGGCGCTCATCAGGACGGACAGACGGACAGACATACATGGCTCAATCGACTAGGCTATGCTGATCAAGAACATATATACTTTATGGGGTCGGATAGGTTTCCTTCTGTGTGTTACATACCTTGTGCACAAATACAATATACTGTATTTACTCTTCGAGTACCGGATATAAAAAGCTTTATATTAATGAACCTAAATAAATTTAAAACTCAAATTTTTGTATTAAGCCGACTTCTTTGTTAGCCTTCTGGGCGACGCTTTTGTGACGCTTTCAGGAGACTCTTCTACGACACTTCCGAAAACTCTTCGTCGACTCTTTTAGAAGACTATTCGGCGACTCTTCTCGAAGTGTCGCAGAAGTGGTTCATTCCCCCGACATACGATAAGAAATCGTTGGCGATCATTTTAATCTTCCGCGATAAAAATTGTTTGCAGGGTTGGGAGTTGGAAAAAAAGAAATTTACAAATAAAAGCTGTTATTGTAATTGTAAGCTGTTATTGTTTTATATGCAGATTTAATATTGCTTTATTCTGCATATTATGTAAACGCCGTCGCTTCTCGAATTCGTTGCTGCCGTAATATCAACATTGTTACCAAATTCATTTTTTTACAGAGAAATCCTTTCAGATGTACATATGTTGCCTCTGAGCTTACATTTGAACCCTTCAAATTTAATTCTACCCTCAAGACTTTATGCAGAGTTTATGTATCCTATATGCTTATATTTATGTATACCCGGTACTCGTAGAGTAAATAGGGTATATTGTATTTGTTGTGTGGAGTAGACATATGTAGCGAACGGAAGGAAACGTTTCCGACCCATATCCTTGATCATCATAAACAGCAGAGTCGAAATAGCCAAGTCTGTCTGTCCGTCCTAATGAGCGCCTAGTACTCAGATACCATAACACCATAGAGACTGGAATCCAAGTTTGGCTTCCAGACTTTCTGTATGCTCACAAGTGTATTTCAAAAATTTCCCCCGCCCCCTTCCGGCCCACAAATAAGACAAATAAGACAAAGATAAAATGTTATATTTGAAAACCATTTAGGTTCAAATGTACTACTGAGTATATATAAAACATCTAAATATGTTTTAAAAATAATGCATAACGGCAATTGCCTTTGCGTTCTATATATGTTGAATTAGAATCTAATGATTAGAGTATTCAGCGTGCACTGTGTGAATAAGCATAGATTAATCAAAAAAATGTATAGTGGGAACATGTTTGCTGGCAAGTCGGCTGCCCTGCACATGTACCCAAACATTAACACTTTGACTTTATGGTGTATACAATATGGTACTGTATGGTTAGCGGTTAATGTTAGCTAATGTATGTACATGTAATTTTATGATTGTATGTACTAATGTATATGCTGAAATATATACTAATGATACAATAATTGCATCATGTCATGGGGTACGCGTACCGCTTACTCAGCGGTGTAGTTTTGCTTATATGAACTGG